TGCCACAGAGGAGACAACTGGAGGTCCTGTCCACTGCCACAGAGGAGCAGAGGTGAAAAGACTGAAAATTTGTACTCAAGTACAAGTAAAAGTACTGATGTTGTAAAAATACTTAAGTAAAAGCACAAAGTAATTTTCTCAAAAATTACTCAGAGTTTTAATGATTTTTTTAATCAATTGATGTTTTATTGTGTTGTCAATAGAAGGTATTCAATTCGATTTACTGTATTCAAAGCACATTTCTCAGATGAACAATAAAGTATAGAAAAATTACACTATGGCCATTTCTTTTGTAAACAAATGTAGATAAAGCAGGAAATTTGTTTGTTAAAAGAAAGACAGACATGTTTTTGAACCGGCATAGAAAAGTTTAAACTTTTCCAAATACACTGAACAACAGGCAGGTGAGTGTTTTAAACTCTGACATTTCTGTCACCCTTCACTTTCTGAACCTTTGGTTCAGTGTCCGCAGGAGCTGCTTTTCTAAGTTAACAGAGTCTATCCGGCTTCGTTTGGCTGTGAAGAGAAGACTCTAAACGATTCTCTACAGAGTTGTCCTTTGCTTATGTCATAGGTAATTGACACGTTCACTATCTGAGAGCCTTATTGGCTACAAAGATGAACAGTTTGAGTATTAATTCAAATTGCAGCCGTACTCAATAGTGACTTCTGATTTTAAAACTGGCAAAGTAGATTACATGGTCTAAATTGTACTTAAGTATGAGTAAAATTACACACTTGAAAGCAATACTCATAAAAGTACAAGTAACCCCCCCAAAAATCTACATTAAATTACAATAATGTGACAATTTGTAATTCACTGCTTCCACCCTTGCAGAGGAGACAGCTGGAGGTCCACTTCTTGTCCTGTCTGCTGCTCACTTCTGTGACATGTGGAGGAGCAAAGATGGTGACCTGACACCATCAACTTACATCCGACAGCAACTATTTGGTTAAGAGCAAGTGCAACAGTCTGCCTCAAAAATATTTACAATATTCTACAATAAATTAATGGTATTAGAATTGATAACTGTGTGAATGTTTATGAAGCATTGTCACTATTGTGATCCATTCTTCTTCTGTACGTTTTTCAGCAAGTTTCTCATCCCGCAGTTTTCAAGCTATTTCAACAAATCATAAATCAAAACGTTCAGCTCTTTCAGAACAATCCTGATATGACTTTTAGTATTGGTTTATCTTTGGCTTTTTGAAGCTAAAGGTTTGTCAACCTCCCCACCATCACAGACATCTACACCTCCAGATGCAGGAAGAGGGCCACCTGCATCATGAAGGACCACACTCACCCAGCACACACACTTTTTGCCCCGCTGCCCTCAGGAAGGAGGTTAAGGAATGTTAAGTGTAGAACCACTAGACTGAGGAACAGCTTATACCCTGAAGCTGTTAGACTCATGAATCTCTAACCAGAATAATCACTGTGAAAAAAATCACATCATGTTGCTGCTGATCTGTTTCATGTTGCTGCTGATCTATTTCATGTTGCTGCTGATCTATTTCATGTTGCTATATTCATTCGTGTTCATCTGCTCATACAGTCTCATGTTCGTGCTGCTGTTCGGCGTATTGTTTTTGTACTATTAGTGCTTAGAGGATTTTTAGTTGACGTTTTTCTTAGTTCATATCTTAGATCTTATTTCTGTTTTTCTTGTACTTGTTATACTTTTGTTGGATGTAACTGGGACTCTGTGTACACAATTTAGTTCCACCACATAAAGAACCTTGAATCCTTGAAATATTTAGCCTTTTCTGCCACTTTTTTCTCATAGAAAATGAATTTAGTTCATTTTACATCCTTCAAATCTTTAGATCTATTTACAACCTTTTACTGCTCCTTTCACATTTTGTTCTGCTTCAGCTTCTTTCAGCTTCCTTCTGCAAATTTAAACTTTTTTTCAGCTACTTTCTGCTAATTTCAGCTGTTTTGTGCTCTTTTTAGTCTTTCTTCTAACTATGACATTTTTGTGCTTCTTCTAAATTATTTCTGCTAATTTCAGCTTGTTACGCTCCTTTCAGCTTATTTCTGCAAGTTTCAGTTATTTCAGCTATTATTTAGCTGTTTTAGGCTAATCTGATCTTTTCAGCTAATTCCACATTTTTTGCACTCATTTAAACTTTTTTTCTGCCTAATTCAACAAAAATGTGGTCACTCCACTTACTTCTGGTAACTTAAGCTTCTTTCTGCCTTTTTAACTGCTTTTCAGCTGTTTTTTGTTGCTAATTTCAGCCTTTTTTTTTCCAGATAATTTCCACTTTTTTGTGCTCATTTCTGCCTCTTTCAGCCACAAAATGTGTTATTTTTGCTTTCTTATGCAAATTTAAGCTTGTTCTACCTTTTTAGCTAACCTCTTTAGCTAATTTTACCCGTTTTCAGAAAAATTCAAGTTTTCATAGTAATTTCTGCTATTTTCAGCCTAATTAACTTCTTTATGCTAATTTCAGCTTTTTATGCTCCTTTAAGCTTTTTTCTTCTAGTTTCAGTTTTTTCTGCTCTATCAGCTACTATTTAGCTGTTTTATGCTAATTTTAGCTTTTTCAGCATTATTTGAGATCATTTCAGCTCTTTCCACTTTCTTCTTGTAG